GGGGGGGGAGTTGGGTAAACATTTTTCCAACACAGACTACATATGAGGGAGTGAATATTCAAATATTCTTTATTGTGATCTTCTAACCAGGTGATGAGCTGGATTCATCAGACAGTGGTAGTCTCCCATCTGGAATCAAGAGAAGAGGGTCTGATAGCTCTGGTAGTGTCAATAGTCTTACAGCTAAAGGCAAAATGAGGTCCTTCCGATCCTTGTCTTCGCTGCTGTCTGTGGGCTCGCTCAGGAAAAGTTTTACTGAAAGCCCCTTCGAGATATCTCACTCACATAACTCAAGGTAGGTTTGCGTCTTCAAATGGAAACCAATCTCATTTACTGGCACCTGCTACTATCCCATTAAGCACCTCTAGTATCATAGAATGAGTATCAAAAATCGTAGCGCACAAGAAGGTCAGTATAAAATAGCCCCTGAACATAATTTGTTTGATTATCGAGACTCTCAAAAATTTAAGGTAAGGACTGGCGTGCCGTGATCGTGACGGTACTGACTCGACGATTTGATTGGACGTGCAGAGATCTCACACTTCTTTCGTGCTTTCGTCACAGGGATTGCGTTAACGCCGACTGAAGTCTTGCATTTTTACGCAATATAGGACTGAAAAATCACTTTCACAGTTTTGATGCGTCCCAGAAATCACCTCACTTAAGTTGATAAAATAATGATTGGGGCCCACAACACAATACTTGGGACCCGAGTTTGAGCAGTAAGGTGGGCCTCGGGACCCGAATTGAAAAAAAAACATAGCTGAATCCATGCGTCACTTGCTGCTTGCTGTATCAACGTAGCACGACGTAGCTTTCATACGACGAAAGTGATAATTAATATCCCTCTGTTTTTTTAGGCTAACAAGTGGTAAAGAGAACACACTACTCAATTATGTCACATTCGATTCGTTCAATGGTGTGTTAGTCTGTCCCATATCAAACGATCCAACGTTTCGTTGTGGTACAGTCCATACTGAAGTACTTAAGACATTCCACAACACTTGCCTTACTATTCGTAGACTGTTTCTTCCCTATTACAAACAGGTATGTAGTTCTTAAAAAGCCTCATATTCTGGAATTCCTTTTTGCACACAAATCTCATCTTTTGATCGTCACGATATCGCTATCAGACTTACAGTGAAGAAATAGAAAAGAGATAGAAGTAGATATTAGGCACGCGGGGATTGCAGTGTTAGGAGAGACACGACGCGGATTCAATCAGCGTTTTTTCAGCGCCTTTTATCTATGCGACCCGGACAACTCCAGACGCAGCAGTTTTACTTGTGTTTTGGCTTCCATTTACCAAATTTAAAACAGGGGACGACGTCAAAAACCTTCGAATATTAAAGTTTTAGAGGTCGCAGAAAAACGGCCTAAAGTATCACAAACACTTTATTTTATTTCTTGTTCAATTTTCCAGAGATTAAAAACTTCCAGCAGTAAAAACAAAGATAGATCGTTCTTTACCAGCAGTGGTCCAGAGGGAGTCATAGAACACGGAGTCCAGTTCCACAGGGTTCCCGACAGTAACACGGAGCAGAAAAAGTCATCAGCGATTCTAAAATACTGGGTTATCGGGTAAGCTAAAACTCCCAAAACAATGAAGATAGTTTCCTTCTTTAAGTCTGAAACAGCGCCAATCACCCCCCCCCCCCGACTCTTTGATACGATCAGATAGCATTGTGATCAGCTTATACTGTCCTTATGCCCTGGCTAAACAAGGAAACATGTTTTCTTAAATGTTTCCAAAGGTGGCAAAACTGTCAGGGAACATCGGGAAACATGTTTACTCAATATCGGTTAGCGCATGCGCACTTTCAAAATAGAGCTAGCGTTGCTAAGTAACGTACTTTTAGAATGTTGACTTTCGTGGCTAAACGAGGAAACATTGGGAAACATTGTTTCCATGCGTCTTGAAAGCATGAAATATTTCTGCCGCACAGCAGAAACATTTTTGCGTCTTGGAAGTGATTTGTTGCACGTTACAATGTTTCGCATGTGGCTAAACTTGGAAACATTGGGGAACTTGTTTCCTCGTTTAGCCAGGGCCTTACAATGAGCACCTTCGACCGGTTCTTCACACCGCGTTTCAAGTTTCTTCATACTGTTTGAAGTTATAAATTTTGGGTGTTGGACACTCAACGCCTGTCTGGAAACGTTTGATATGTTAATACAAGAAACTGCATTTTTTTGCTCAACAAGTGAAATCTTTGTTGTTTGCATTTTTCAGACGTCTTTTTGGAGGAGAACATCCAAAGGAATTTTACGTGTGCTATCACAGTTCAGTTCCGCAGAATACTGTAGAGATGGCGTTCAAGCTGGGCTTTGGTGTAACCCTCTGACATTTATTCATCTGAAACACAGATCAAACAGTGATGGACATTATGAGAAATGCCTGTTGATTCATAGCAAGAGATTTATGAAGTTCCAGTAAAATGATTGGAGTAGTAATGTAGGGCAGCAAAAAGTTGGACCAACCACGTGACGAGAGACGGACAGACAGAATTCTGTCTGTCCGTCTCTCATCACGTGGTTGGTCCAACTTTTTGCTGCCCTACATTACTACTGCTGGTCACAATTTTGCTAACATCACTAAGGAAGGCCATATTCTCTTAGTCGTAAAAATAGGCAGAGTTATTTGAGATAATATACGGAATTACAAACACATTACAAACAATATATCAACTCGCATATGTGCACAAAGATTTGACTATGAATAGAACAATACATTTATGAGAATCATATTCTTTATTACCATTTAACTAGTTAATTTTACTAGTGGTATGCAGTTGCGCCAATGTGAACATTTTCTGTTACATTAGATGACAATGCATTTAACCTGCTCGTAGAGGAAGTCTCGTGCTCAAACTACTCACCCTCTGATCTTGGTTAGTTGGGTATCATGCAACATCATCCAGCATTGAGAAGACTCCGAAACTTCCTTTTGTGTAAATCTCATGATTCATAAAACAAACAAACAACAGCAACAACAAAAGATTATTAATAAATTTTATTAGAAAGAAGTTACAGCAGAATAAATATTTTCAAAGCTGAAATCAAGTTGTATTGAATTTTCAGAGCTTTTGGCTGTTGACAGAATTGCTCTTTTTCACTATGACGTCACATCAAAACAATCTTGAACAATCTATTATTTAAACGCAAAGGATCATGGTCATCGAATGGGGTCAAATCAACGCAAATTCACCGAAAATTGTTCTAAAACCCGCATCAATCCACGAAGAGAAGTAGAATAGCCAGCGAACGCTCAGAATATTTTTTAGTACATATAAGCATTATATCTGAAAACCAGACCATTTTAGATTAAACTGTTTCGCTAGAAGCAAATTTTGTTGAATTTTCTATTGGATTTGGCGATTCTATCCCCCACATAAACAAGCAGTGACGTCATAGTGAAATAGGGCAATTACCTGTTTTAGTCTAAGCCTACTTATCTCAGTTTTAACCTACTAAATCTTCTGCTCTGATTGGTCTATTAGTGATAGACCACTCGTAGCAAAAAGGGTCCGGTTTTCAAAATCAAAACAACTCTGGTTAACTCGTGTTTTTAACCTAATTTCAAAGTTATTTCCATCTATTTGACCAATTAGTAGGTCTAGACTAAAATACGAGTCATGCTAATTACTGGGTTGCCTGTGGCAGCCCAGTCGTAAAATGCCTTTGGTTTTTATGTCTCCTCCATCTCGCGAAAAGTGCAAAATTTAGTGCAAAATTCTGCTGCCAGGGTTATTGTAGGGCTTCCTCGTTTTTGCCACATCACACCAGTTCTTTTTGATTTACACTGGTTACCTATTAGATATCGTATTCATTTTAAGATACTACTGTTAACATTTAAATGTTTACGTGGGCTAGCACCACAATATTTATCTGAT